ATGATTTTTATACATTTTGTATTAAATGTTTTTAAAATATTTCTAAACAGATAACTTTTTTTAATTATACAGAATGCATAGCTTAGAAAAGTCCTGCGATTCATTACCTGTTTCTTTGATTCTTCTTTCTTCTGACAATAACACAAAAGAAGTCATTGGTCATAGTCGTCTATCTCCTTTGTCATGTGATCCAAATGGATGCCTAATAGAATCAGGTAAATCAGGTAATTGAATAAAATACAAATTATTTTCATCTACAAGTATAAGTAGAATAAAGTTTTGGAATTTACTGTGTTGGAATAGTCTCTAAATAGTGTTGTGGACATTAAGAAAGCCTTTACTCCTGCATTTGGCTGGATTGTCAGTGGGAGATCTAGGTGTTAAGTAATATGACATATTTAGGCCACACTAACCGTAAAAATTTTAAGAACACAGTCTAATTTAATATCTATATTCTTTAGAGTAACAGGCACATATTTCAACTGTTTTGACTAACCTATCTCTTTACATTGTTTTATGGATTATAAATGATGTGTTATATAGGATAAGAGATTCTTATGCAAAATGTAAAGTAACATGATCACTTTCTGATACTTTTATTTCCAATTTATACCATTCAAATGGTTGATCTATAAACTTGTATGCAATTCAAGTTATAGATGCTTTTCAAGCAAAAGTAAGAATAACTTACAGACTGAAAGTCTGCAAATTATTCTTACTTTTAATATTCAAATTACTGATTGATATCTTTTTACATACTATATTTCAAAATGAATTGTTTTTCTAATATTACTACTAGAAAAATAAAAACATTGTGTAATGTATAAAAAAAGAAATGCCAATTGGTAACTTCAATATTAAAAAAATTCAGAAAATAATTTTAAGATTTACAGATTAGATAAATGGATTATACAAGTATACTAAACATCCCAAAGCCAATGCATAGATACTCAACTAAGCAATTGCCTTAAACAAATTGGGCTAAAAGTTTGCTATTATTAATGATTAAAATAGTAAATAATTTGATACTAGAGGTATACTAAATAATTTATAATAGTGGATAGTAATCATTAATAATAGTGGATTTATAGCCCAATTATTTGTTTAAGGCAATCGTTTGATTGCACAAGTTATAAAGCAGGGACTCAAACCAAACTGAAATCGGAACAATAACCAGAATGAATCTGCATCATTTTCACTGAACTGGAACCAGAATTGAACCAGTGGGATTGAAACTGGGAATCAAATTAAACTATTGTTTTGAACTGGTTCATATCAGTTCATCAAATCATCTTTTAAAGTGGTGAGATTACTTATTGATATGAAACTTACAGATGTGGAGAGTATCATATATTGGTTTGAAAATTTGTCCAAATTAGTGTTAATTATGATGCAGACTCAAATCACATTTGTTGTTAGAGTCCAATTTATGATAAATTGACTAACCTAGCAACATTTTTCATGCAGTGAATGACTATTACTTTTGAAAATTGTTATGTAATAATTATAAGTACAAATGTCTAAAGTTTTCTTGTTCTGCATTTATACTACAAACTATTTATACTGCAAAAATTTAAACTACACATAAATCTATAATTGATATATTAAATGCCAAGAGAATAATATTCAATAATGAAAATATCAAAGAATCAAAATGTTAAGAAACAAAATATCAAAATTCATTTCAAAAGATAAAATGTTGAATAATATACTCTTTTTGTTTAATTAATTCAACATTATTTTTTTTATATATATTTTGAAACTTAGGTTACTACAATCTAATGATGTTTAGTAAAATATTAGATAATAAATTGATACTTCTTAACAAGATTATTGCCAAATGGACCTGGACCCCTTAGATATTGGAAAAATTACAAACATTAGCAAAAATATTTTTTCTGATGAGTAGCACTATGTACTAAGTAAATTATGAATGGAATAAAACATAAAGTACAGAAAAATACAAATATATATTAGAATATTGGAATAGAAAGAAGAATGATCCTTTATATCATTTTTCTAAGATTGCTTTAGCAATTTCTGCAACACAAATGAGTATAAAACAATTATTTTCTAGTCTGAAATATATTCTATTACTTTTGGATACAAGTATGAAATCTGAAGTACTACATAATGTAATATTAGTAAGATGTTTTGAAAAATGTACAAAATGATGATATTTGTTAATATAATTTAAAATTTAACAAAAAGATGTCAATTTACATATACAGGGTGTTCTTTTGGAACCTTCCTAGTTTTGTGGATTAATTTGGGAAAAGAAACATGAGTACAATACTGTAAACAATGATAATAGAAAATACATCTGAAAAAGTTATTAACAATGTTAAATACAAATGTATCAATACATTTCCACATGTTCTCCTGACATGGCATGTATGATATGCAGTCTGTACTTAATCAATTAGTATTTTAGTCAATGCAATGTCTGAGCCAACGTGTTAGGAGTAGTGATGTGCCGGGTATCCGTATCCACAGATATTCGAGGGGAAAAAAGGTCCGTATTCGTATCCGTTACTTTTCAGCAGATCTTTAACGGATCTTTTATCTTAATTTCATTACTTATATGAAATTTTAAAGATAGGTAGCAATAAAATACTAATAACTTCAATTCAAATCACTTTTTATTTCTTAAAATCACATATTTGGCACATTCACATTGCAAAAATTTTATCATGCAAAATTCATTTAATGTTGTAAAATATTTCCATATTACACTACTAAACTTTTTTGTCAACATTGTTTTTATTTTAATTTAACTCAACACTCTCCAAAAATACAAGCGTAATCTACACTATTCCATGTCACACTAAACTATAAACAAAAACACACGCAGTGCAAGTCAAAACACATCACGTTACTAACGCAAAGCATCAATTATCGGTCCAAGGTCACACACACTGGCGCCGACTGAGTACGAAAGTTGAGATCCGTATCCACAGATCTAGACACTAATGATCCGTATTTGTATCCGTATCCGCGGATATACATTTTTAATGATCTGGCACATCACTAGTTAGGAGTAACAGTTAAAGGCATCCATGATTCTTACATACAATGGTATCAAGGCACTTTTGTAGCATACACATGACATTCCCGCAAAGAAAAAAATTTGAAGAGGTGATGTCAGTTGATTCAGATGACCAAGAAATGAAGCCATGTTACCAATCCAGCAATCTAGGCCATGCAGCAGTGGAGAAACAGATCACTGCTGCATGGCAGTGGCAGCCCTTTTGAGCCTATGAACATGAAGCTTGGAGTAATAATTAATCAACATTCTCAGATACTTATCATTTACAAACATGAACAAATAAATTTTACAGAACAATTTAAAACTACAGAGGTTTGAAAGGAACATCCTGTATTTTGTTCAAAGTCATTCTTGTATAATTTGTACTTATATCAATAATTTCAGATTATATAAGAAATATTGGTTGGAATTTTTATTTGGTAAATGTTTCACTAGAATCTCTGCTCACAATAATGAGATTGTTTTAAATTTATATTTTATTAGTTTTTAAAAGATTCATTGCTGATTTAATGTTATTTTCAAATTTAGACTTCATAACTGAAAATTTTGATTAACCGATGTGGTAACCAAATGCTGAACCCAAACCATTACCTATTTTACCAGTTATCAGTTTTTTACAGATCACTTAAAGCAAACTAGAACAGAAATTCAAGAGAGATCCATAAACAGGAATTGAACCAATTTTTCTTGGAATTTGAGTCACTATTATAAAGATATTAGATGATGATTTGACTTTGTTATATTTTATATAAGAATTGTGTGTCCTGTATAGTACTGCAGTTATTATCAATATAAAATATTGTTTAACATTATTACTATAATATTGCTATTTTACAGTTTATAATTGCATTTTTCATTATACAGGATGTTCTAGAACATGTGTAAACATTTTACGTAGTTTTACTGAGAAAATAAATATGACTAGGAAGGTGGAATTTCCTAGTTGTTATATCAATTATATAAAAGCTTGAGAATTCAATTTCTTTTAAACCATGATATCATTTACATATATATGATATGATGCATAAATGGCTAACATTTATTTTATATAAAATAAAATTCACCAATACTTTGGAAGTAATTGTATTTGTCCCAGAAAGCATTAATCAACTTTTAAAGTTTGCCAATGCTTTAAAGGAGTTTGATTATATTATGGACATTGCTTGAACAACAATGTAGTTCAAGTGCATTAAAGTATTGAAAAGTGAGAAAAACTTCTCTTTGAGCTACCTTTTCATGTAACAAAACTATTCATTCACTCCTAATTCTATTCATTTTTTATGTATTGTGTAGAGTATCTGAGAAAACAGATATTTTCAAATACTTTTGTACAGTGTATTAAATGCCATTTAATATCTTTTTTACCAAACTTTTAAGATAAATATTATCATCTGTAAGATTTTATTTAGGTATTTAAATGTTATTTTAATAATCTATTATTAAAAAGTATTTTAAATAAGTTTAAATGTAAATTAAAAATTAATGAAATTATTAACTCATGCATTACTTGTAATCATATATAGTAATTTATTATTTTTGCTAAAACTGAAATAATGGAAAAATTTTAATATTGTCAAGCGTTATTTTTAAATATAAAAATTTAATCTATGTTTATTTAATTACTACATATGTTAAATTTTAACATAATATATTTTTGATGTTATGATATAAAATTTTTAAACTGATACCTTATATTTCATAAGTGTCATTTTAACGTAAAAGGTAAGTGAATACAATTCATACATTACCACCACAACTTAATTTATTCTTCACAGAATAATAATTAAATTTTACATTATTAGAATGCCTGAAACTTTTCTCATCATTTTATATTTTAACTGAATATATCATAATATTTCAAATTTATTTTATATTACATTGAAATATATTTCTTAACACATATATATTTAGTTAGTATTGAAGTTGCATTTAGATCATTTAAAATTCAAGAATTTAAGCAATGTTAGCAAGTAAACAAATCTAAAACAGTCAAATGATTTGAAAGTCTTAAAAGTATTATTAGATATTATTATTGGATATAACATTAACTGATAAGAAAAATACAAACTATGTTATGCTAATTCTAAATAACATCATATGTATTGATATTTTATTGAAAATATTTTTAATTCCTCTCAGAAATTTGATATTTTTTTAAGTTAGAAATATTTTAAT